CATGGCCATTAGGATGGATCTATGGGTGCTCCTCCCCTTAGGCCCCACCGGTGCTGGAGCAAGGCTCTTGTGTGGGGTCTGGGGGTGATTCAGGAACAGCTGACTTAGGACCTGAGCCCAAAAGGGCAGGAATTGCAACACAGTTCCGGGAAGTGATCCCCTCCAGACTGACAAGAGTTAGGGCCTGAGTTGTAAACAACCCAGCCTTTCCCCAGCCAATAAGGCTTGCCAAACAACCCCAGCATCACCTGTATCTCAGAGCCCTCCTCAAGAGTACAGGATTTTAACCTCTTGTGTGTCAGAGCGGCCTAGCAGGGTAGTAACTCCAGAGCTGTTTCCTTGGATCTGAAGGCTTGCCCTGACCTGTGCTGTGGCCTGTGCCAAGTATGCAGGAAACTCCCTTTGCTCCTAGCCTCACCTGTAGGCTCTGACCCCTGCTGGGGTAACAGCTGCTTTAGGCTTGGGGATAGGTGAGAGTGGGAGGGGCTGGCTCCCCCCACCCACAAGCTGAAAGTCTGGAGGAGTGAAGGAGTGAAGCCGGGTCCTCAACCCTTAGCCAAATTGAGGAAATGCTCTTAGAGTAGGACGGGGAAGGGAGGCTGGCAGGAGAAACAGGAGTTCTGGATAAATCTCTTTCCTATGAGTCTTTCGAGATGCAGGCAAGTCTAAATAAGCACACTCATAAACCCGGCCCAGTGCCCCATGGAGCAAAATGGATGCTTTGTCAGGAAAAGGACTCCCCGGAAGAGTATCACAAAGCCAGGAAAGAAACTGTCCCCATCATTTTCTTCCTCTCCCGGACTGGGCAAGTTTCTTTCTCCATCTCTGAGCCAGGCAAGAACCACAGACTATGAGACTGGAACCACAGGAGAGGGCTCTGGTGTCTGCGGCTGAGTGGGGGAAGGGAAAAGCACCAGACACACCAACGGGAGGAGAGGGCTGTCCTGGAGCTAGTGTGGGGCTGTGGAGGCCTGGTGAAAGGGACCTTGCTGCCTCACAACCCCTCTCCCTTCGGCTTGGCCTGAAGACGGAACAACTCTGGTGGGTGGCAGGACCCAGCTGGCTGGCATTCTCTTGATCAATAACTGCAGGGTATTCCCTATGAGAAAGTCAAGGAACACCTCCCACTTTAGGAGGCTGAGAGGGTGAGGGCTCTCCAGCTCAACATCAAGTCTTGGATCCTGGCTTCTGGGTCTGTCCCGCCCTCAGCTTCCCAACCCACTGTGTTCCAGAAGCAAATGGTGGTTCTGGCTCTGGGAAGACCATGACCCACTTAGAGCAGAGCCAGGGCTGCTGCCCCTCCCCTAGAGCACCTACTGGAGGCTGGGGAGGGGAAAAAGAAGTTGGCAGTGGGCAGTTTTCCAGAAGCTCCTTTTGTTAGGCACTCTCTGGGGCTAAGATGGTAGCTTTAGGCCTGGGAAAGGCGCCTCCTCTCTGACAATTGGGTTTGGTTTCCAATCTCAGGGAGGATTTTTACTCTTTCTAGTTTCCATGCACAACTGTGGTCCCACACCTAGGGCTACACTTGACCTTTCAGGCCCAGGTCTCTTCAGTCACACAGGCAGCATGTGCGCAGGAGACGTTCATTCTGAGGGTGCGACCCGGCCTGGGCAGAGGGAGTCAAATCCAGACCGTATCCTGCGTTTTGGGCCCTTCCCCAGCCCTTCCCTACCACACCCAGGTCTTCACCAGGCTGAGTGGGTTGGGATGGCCCAAAATAAGAAGCTGATTAAATCCGTCTCCCACCTTCACCCCAAAATAAGAGAGGGAGGAAAAACTTCCTCGGACTACTCCCACGCCGCTTCCTTCAGGACCGGGGTGGGCTATGGTCACGGAAGAGTTAGGGTTGGGGGTGGGGGCGCCAGAGTCAGCCTGGACAGTCGAGGGAGACCCAGGCCCGCCCTCAACTCACTCGCTGAACGACTCCCGCTAGTCTCTCAGCGATCAAGGCAGAAAAACAATTAACAACAAAAAAGGCCCCCCAAGGCGCCGGCAGGGGTGTGGAGGACGCGGGAGGCGGTGGCCAGGCTGAGCCCGGCTGCTCACAAGAAGAGCTTTGTGTGCGCGGAAGTTCGGCCCGCCGCGATCCTCGACGCCAGGGCCGGCGGCCCGCACCAAGGGCGGTCCAGGGGATGCGGGTATCGCTCGGACGCCCCGACGCCCCGACTTGGTACAGATGCGCGCGTGCAGGGCCGCGGGCACCTGAGCGCTGCCAAACTGAAGGAACAACTCGAGTGTGACATCGGCCCGGACAGCGCGGGGTTGGAGCAGGGTCCAGAGTTTCTGAGGCTCCCGCCTGGTGCCACAGTGCGCGCAGAGCTTGGGAAAGCGAGGCCCGGGCCCCTCTGCAGAGTTCTTCCAGGGACGGGAGGAATGGGAAAGAATCGGTGGCGGCGGAGGGGGGTTGTTGGAGGCAGGCAAAAGTTGGATCGACTTTCAAGTTTGCAGATGAGGGGAGAAAAAGAAAGGCTGGCGCAGCAGAGCCCTCCCCCGGCACCCCCAAAGACCAGCTCTCAGCGGGGGCTGTCCCCTTGGCGACCCCCGGGCTCGCCTACCCAGAGGGAGAAACTCAGGGAAGGGCCGGAGGAGCTCACTTACTTCGGGGCTGAAGTTGCTGCCTTGGGCCCAGCCGAGGGAAGCGAGCGTGGTGCCGAGCGTGAGCAGGGGGAGCATGAGGCTGCGGGAGGGTCGAGGGGCGGGAGACATGGTCCGCGGCGTCGGGGCGCCGGGCGGTGCGGGCTCCGCGGCGGGGCCCACGCCCTGGGGTCGCGCCGCCGCTCTCTTGGGGCGCCTTTGTCTTCTAAAGGAACGGAATGTGGATTCCTAGAGCGCAGTCGGCTTGGAGGTGAGGGAATTGCTCCTGAAAATGTCTGTTTGCTCTTCTCTTTTCCGTTTTTTGATCTTTCTTCTGCTTAGTCGGCGAACTGAGTTGGAAGCCCTCTCTACTCTCTCCTTTGGTCCCTCCCTTCTCCCACAGCCTCTCCTCCGCCCCCGCCCCAATGCCCTCCTTTCCTGGGGACGTGGTGTTTCAGCCCGAATCCAATTACAGCCAAGAGCAGGAGAGAAGGGAAAAAAAGTTGTCTTTTCTGTGGTGCAGGCTGCCATCTGCAGGGGTTAAGGCCACAGTCGACAACTAACTAGGAGCCTGGGTGTCCCAGGGGACGGGATGCGGAAGACTTTCTCTTCCTAAGCATTTTTTGGGTGGCCTGATTCCCGTAGTATTCAGCATGTCTCACTTGAAGAGTGTTGAGGTATTTCGAGGCGGGATGGCTAGGGACGGTGGAGACATGAAGTCTTCCATGCCTGTGAGGAAGGTTGGGAGAAGGGACATTTACTAACAAGGCGGTTGTATGCTGAGACCTGTGGACAGCCTCCTCCTCCTCTTGCCCCCAACTTAAGACTGTAACAAAAGCCATTGCCCAACAGCCATCACAATTACTTTGGATTTGGAGACCCACCCCTTTATTAATGGGTTTTTACAATCTGCCTATTCCATTAAGTGTGAATTGCCTGGGTAGGAAAAGAGTTCAAGGGCACAGGATTGGGTGAAGCCAGATAAAAGTTTGATGAAATTTCTTAGAAGAGGAAGGATTGGGAGGTAGGATTCTGCAGTTTCCTTCAGTCTTTACAGTGGAGACAGTTCCTTGGAGAGCAGCTTCCTTGATGGCTGGGCTGGAGAACAAAAGGAGGCAGGCAGGAAAGAGGGAGGACAGGCTGCGCTGGCCGTGAGAGAGGGAGACAGATAAGAGGTTGAGAACTAGATCTGGAAAAACACCAAGCAGTGGGACAGAGGCAGGAAAAGTGTGGGAGACAGAAAACTCGACCATCAGCGAAATGTAAGATCCAAGAATTGCATTTGGTCAGCGAGAGGAAGGCAGTGGGGAGCGGGGAGGAAAGAGAGCAAGGGAAGCGGTAAGGGGGGTGGGGTAAGGCCAGGTAGGAAGCTCCCAAGATCCACACTACCAGCTTTGTGGTGGAAGATGGGAGCCAAACATCTAGCACTGGAACACGGGAGCAAAGGTCCTTGCCTCTAGAACCCAAGGGAGGACTCATGATCAATAAAATGAGTGGTTGCTAGGTCATGAGCAGCGACATTGTGTGGGGGGTGGGGAAGTACAGGACCGTTAGCTCCTGGAATTTAGTCTGATCATAACTCCTTCAGCAGAAGAACCCAAGTTTAATCCTTCCCTATGTCAGCAGCCTTCCAGTGCGGGTGTCTCCTGGATCGTGTACCTGGATACTAGCTGCTTGTTAAGAAAGGGACTTTTGCCAGGTGAAGTGGCACACAGCTTTAAATCCAGACAGGCAGGAGGATCTTTGTGATTGCAAGGCAGCTTCGTCTATCTGGGTAGTTTCAGGACAGCCAGAGCTATTGTGAGACCCTGTCTCAAAAAGGAAAAACAACAACAACAAAAACCTCAGATGAAAAGGCCTTTTTTATTTATTTATTTATTTATTTTTGGGTTTTCAAGACAAGGTTTCTCTGTGTAGCCCTGGCTGCCCTGGAACTCACTCTGTAGACCAGACTGGCCTCGAACTCAGAAATCTGCCTGTCTCTGCCTCCCAAATGGTAGGATTAAAGGCATGTGCCACCACCACCTGGCGAAAAGGCCTTTTCAAAAACATTTATTGAATGCCAACTGTATGCATCTGAGCTGTGTATGGGCTATTAGTGACATGAGCATGAGGGTAGACCAGGAAAACTGCTGCTGCCCCTTTCTTCTCTCATGAGCAGTGGTAGGGTTGTGGCGTGCTTAGCGTTTGTGAGGCTCTGGGCACATCTTCAGCATCAGGGGCAAAATGATCCCAGAGCAAAGTCTGGCTGAGCTGGGATGGAGTGAGTACTAAGGGCACCGAACCAAGCCTCACAGGCAGTGATTTTAAGTTGTTCCCGGTGCCCGAGGTCTTTAGCTATCAATACAAATGGCAGGAAAAATGACTTGATTCTACCTGGGGTAAAGCATTCAGACAATAGAAAAGAAAGCCAGAGAGAGGCTGGGAAAGTGGGACAGGAGCTGATTTTTATTGATTTGGAAGTGGGCTTCTCAGTAAAATCCCTTTAGGTTTAAGATCATGTTCCCGCTTCCTTTCTTCCTCCAATTTCTGCTGCCTGAGTTTCCATGCCTCTAATCCAGCATCCATTTCCTGTGTCAGCAGTACAACTCGTCTCTGAAATAGACAGGAAAACAGTGAGTAACATCTGGGGCTCAAGCATATGTACCATTGAGCAGATATCCTTTCTCCCCCAAAGCCAAGCGTTCAGCTGGATATTACTGCTTCATGCTGACAACGTGAAGCCGAGAACGTCCACTGTTCCTTTCTGTGAGTGCCCCATGCCAGTCTTCCCTTCTCACAGTACGCGTTTTTTGGCCTGGACCAGGTAGGGTGATACATCCTTTGATCCTATTTCTAGGAAGGTAAAGGGAGCCCCATCTCTTGTGAGTTTGAGGCTGGCCTGGTTTTACATGCCTCATTGAAAGAAATGAAAGAAGGAAGGAAGGAAAGGAAGGAAGGAAGAAAGAAAGAAAATAAATAAGTTGAGTGTAAAGACTGGAGAAATAGCTGCTACTGGTGGGCTTGTCTATCAGGCAGGAAGCCCTGGATTTTCTCCTAAGCACTGCCAAAGAGTAAAGTAGTACAACACAACTTAAAACAGATTCTAACTTATGGGGCTGGAAAGATGGCTCAGAGGCTAAAGAATACTTTCTGCTCTTGTGTGGGACCCCAGTTCAACTCCCAATAGCCACCCCAGAGTTCACAACCATCTGTAATTCCAGTTCCAGGGGATCTGACATCCTTCTCTGACCACTACAGGTATCATGAACACAAATGATGAACATACATTGATACAGGCAAAACACATACATATAAAATAAAAATCAACCTTAAAGAAAACAAAGATACATGATGATTTAAAATTTCCCCCTCCACTTATAAACATAGCCTTTACTGGAGTTCCAGCCACTCACTGCAAGCTTCTCCCTCTGAGCTTTTCTTCGAAGTTGGCCTTTCATTGGGGGAGCAGGGCGGCCATCTACAGACAAAAGCGAAAGAAAGGCAAAGTGTTAAATGTGGTCTAGGCACCTTGCTACCTCCCCTCTTCCAGTTCACACAGAGTGACCTAGGGTCGTCTGCCATGCTGAAATCACTTTTCTCTTTAGAAACCTTTCATTCAAAGTGAGTCTTTGCTAAACTTCATCCCACTGTATAATGAAATGCAGGTGTTCCCCCACTCCCCTTTTGATCTTTGAGGCAGGGTCTCACTGTGTACCTCTCAGTGCTTCTGCCACCTGAGTGCTGATTGCAGGCATGCATCATTACTCTTCTTAAAGTTTGCTTTTTAAAAGTTTTATTCTCATGTGATTGGGTGTTTTGCTTGCATGTATGTCTGTGCACCGTGGGGGTGCCTGGTACAGGTGGAAGTGAAAAGATGATGTCAGATCCCATGGAACTGGAGTTACAAGCAATTGTGAGTCACCCTGTGGGTGAAGAACAGCCACTGCATTGGAGGCATCTCTCCAGCCCATAAGCTTTTTTTTTTTTTTTTTTTTTTTTTTTTTTGAAGAGAAAAAGACTTCTGTATTGAGTCTGCCATCTTCAGACTTGTAGGGATCTTCAGTGTTCTTTTCAGGAGCTTTTCAAAGAATTCATTGTGTATTTGTAATCAAATTCTCAAAATACACTCATCACACGTCTCCTTCTGAGAGGATAAAAGTTATGCACACTTCCAGCCCCAGGACAGCACAAGTTAGTGTTACCATAAGGTAATCTTCAGGACATGATCCGCTACAACTTACTTTCCTTAGCCAATTTACTATTTATTTATTTATTGATCCACAGGGTCTCATTCTGTGGTTCAGGATAACCAGGGATTCCCTACGTAGCACTAACCTCACAGCAATCCCTCTGTCTTCAGAGGTGAACTGACAACGGGCTACGTATTCAGGTAAAATTACAGCTCCAGTTCTCGATCTCTTTCCTAAGTAAAAGGGTCAATGTTTTCCCAGACACGCCCCTAATCCCTACCGAGGTGGTCTCTCAGAGGAAAAAGAAACAAAACAAAACTGTGCCATCAAGGCTCACCCGCGAAAGACCAGTCAGGAAGCTCCGTGAGGGCCCCATAGCCAGAAGGGTTGGCAGCCAGCCCCTGCCTAGGTGGGGGGAAACACAGTGGGGGTGAGGACGCGGCGGGATGCCAGGTCCCGCCGCGCCCCCGCCCGGCACTCACTGGAGTCGCCACTGGCCGCCGGCCCGCGCCACTACGCTGCTGTGCAACCTCCGGACACCTACTGGAAGAGCAGGGAGTTAGAAGGCTGGTCGCCCTGCGACTCCCGGGTTCCCAACCCCACAATCACTCACTGGATAGCCAGGTCCCTAAAGCAGCCATGCCGGAGCAGGGAGCCGGAAGTGGGCGTGGCCCCGGTAGCCACGTGGGACGCTGCCGGGAAAACCGGAAGCCGACATCTTGAATGTGGTTTTCAATCGCGGGTCCCACCATCTTGGGTCATCGTACGGAAGTGAGAGTCAGCTGCGGGCTGGGTGTTCTGGACAGGAGGAACTGTCCCGCGCGTTCATTTTGCACCCTCCGAGGTGGTCGAGATACCTGTGACCGAATCCTTCGCAGCTGTTTCCAAGACCTTTCCTGGACGTTCTCCAGACTTTGGAAATTTAGGGTAACTCAGAAGTGTCACATCCCAAGGAACTTCATTGTGCAGCCTTCTGCATCATTTTAACGTTTGCTTTCTGATCATGATATGATCAAGTGTAGAACGAGTCTGAAAAATTTGGTTCTCATCCAAAAGAATCGAAGAAGTAATGAATGGGTTAGGAGATTGTAAGGATAGCTAAAAACAGCCCAGATAAGGCACTGAGTCTAGGGAAGACAAATGGTCACAGACATGACTAATAGTACAGCCCAATGCTGGGAAAGGAAGTATATGTTATTTGCAAGAATATGTATGGAAATACGGGTCTGAGGACCCTGTTACGCTTTTTTTTTTGAGGAAGTTGTACTGGTGTCAATTTTTTATTTTATTTTTTTATATTTTGAGACAGAGTCTCACCATGTAACTATGGTATTCAGTATGTAGACCAGGCAGGCTGGCTTCAAACTCATAGAGCTACATCTGCCTCTGCTCCTGAATGCAGAGATTCTGGCCCTGATTCCAATTTTTCAAGAGCATCCACCACACACATTCTCATGAGTTAAGTATACTTTGAGTGGTCCAAACCTAAAAACTGAGCTCTGAAGTGCTCCAAAATCAAACTCGTTGAATCCAAGCATGATGCTACAATGGAAAGTTACACACCTGAAGTCATGATGGAATTTTAGTCAAGAAAGCAGGTGCACCAAGGGCTGGTAAGGGCAGTGGTGGAGTACTTGCCTAGAATGCTCAGACTGTGGATTCATCTCCAGCATACACAAAAATAACATCCAACATGAAAGAATTTTATGCTTAGAATAAAGGTCCATCCCCAATATACAATATATATTCAAGTGTTCCCAAATCAGGCATTTCTGTATTAAGTGCCCAGGAGCTGGACAGATTTCCAGGTAGGCAGACAGATAAGACCATGACTAGATAATGATGAATTTCCAAGATGTCTGGCTTCTTCCTCTCCTCCTAGCCTGAGTCAAAAGCCTGGCAGCATAAACTAAGGGTCTTGTGGGCTTTTTCTCCCTCCCAGTAGACCTCCTGTTGACGGTGACTCCAGAAATTCAAGGCTGGATCCGTACATGTTACAAAAACGGTTGTGGGGCAACCATCCATCCTACTTTTCTTTAAACTGACCAACCCTAAATTAGGGGAGGAAAACTTCAGAGACTTAAAACCCCAGTCTTGGAGAAAAGACTGGATTTTCAGTTTTCTGAGTCCCCCTTCTTGGCTTTGCAAAGACACTTTTCTCTCTGTGGGTCTGATGCATGTATGTGTTCCTTCACCCCTCAAAAAAGCCTTTCTCCAAATGCTGATTCTGTCTGCTCTGTTTGCTATGTTCGAGATTTCTCCACTGTTTCCTGTCACATTTGAGGTTTTCCTGCCTTTTAATTTTTTAGTTGGCAGTGTAAACAAGATTGACCAAGACCGGTGATGCTGACAATACCAAACATTTCAAATAAAGGATACTCAGCCCATAAGCTAGTGCTGCCTTTCTCCCTACCACCCATTTTGAGATGAGGATCTTGCTAGGTAGCTCAGGATGACCCAGTACCTGCAAGGTAGCCTTGGCTACCCTCAATGTTCCTGCATCAGCCCTTAAAATACTGGGATTACCAGTTTGTACCACTGTATCTGGCTTTATTTATTCTCTTTTGGTATTTATTTCTGCCTTTGAGGAACTCACCTTTCCTTCCTTTTCCCTTTCTATTTCCTCCATCTCTCCTCCCTAACCTTTCCTGCTCCCATTATGAGACAGGGTCTTCTGTAACCAAGCTTGGTTTAGAAACTCTTGAATTCTTGGTTCTTTGTTACAGGATATTTGATTACTACACATAGAAAACCTAATTGTTAACAAAATATAGAAGCTTAGATATTGGTTTGTCAGGTGCAGTTAGGTGTGTCCTGAAGAGATGCAGTTAGGGTTGGCCTCTGCAGCCTCAAATAGATAAGAAGATGCCAAAGAATAGAGAGGTCTACCTATTTTAAGGCAAAATGCTTGGGTGATGTCTTGTGGTCTTTGCTCTATGACTCTAGGTCTAGGTCAAGTCAGTTGGATGGCCTCGAACTGTTGCTCTAACTGTCCTTGAACAGTTGCTCAAACTGTCCTTGAACTCTGTATTTCAAGGTGGCCCAAATAACTAGGAGTAGAGGCCTGGCTTCCATTTAGTGGCTTGGCTCTGAGCCCTCTTACAGTGAAGATGTGAAGACGACCTGGTTCAGCCTGCCGAGGGTGTAGGGAAGGAGCTAGAGACTTCTTTTACTGCAGTTGGACCTTTACTAGCTCTCTCTTTGGGCTTGGAAGAGCCTTAGTTAGGGAAGGAGCTCCAGGTAAGAGAAGGATTCTCTTAGGGCTTGCAGGAACCACAGAGAAGCAGCTGTCAGGGCACAGGTGAAACAGGATTCTAGGGAAGAGAGCTCAGGAGCCCCCTTGGGTTTGGAGGAGCTCAAGAGAAAGGTGAACTAGCTGGGTAGTATGACAAAGATAGATATTTCTAAGGAGCTAGCAGTTTAGTTGTAGGATCAGGCCCATAAATAGATAGCTTGGGAGGCAGAGGCAGGCAGATTTCTGAATTCGAGGCCAGCCTAGTCTACAGAGAGAGTTCCAGGACAGCCAGTACTACACAGAGAAACCCTGTCTCAAACAAACAAAACACACACACACAAAACCCAACAAAAAAAATAAAGTTACTTCCCTGAGCTAGCAGGATTTTACCTCAGTTTCTACCTCCCATGTCTCTATTGATACAAATATTAAATAAATAAATATTACAGTTTTCCTGAAAATATTTCAAGGGTGGTAATGTATGCCAAAATCCTTAATGACAAAACTACATTATGGGGTTGCTGAGCTAGATACAGACGCAGGCTAACAAGAGCAAGGAGAACACGAGTGGTGTGATGGCCTGTCTTCCGAGTGTATCAAGTCTGTCATTTCCTTCTACAAGACTGGGGAGTTTTTACCCTGGAAGTGTTTCGGAGTTGTGCTTTGGAAGAAGGGAAGGGTGGATCCTTTATTTAAGAAATAAAAACTGGGGGCTGGAGAGATGACTTTAAGAGCATTGGCTGCTTTTCCAGAGGTCCTGAGTTCAATGCCCAGCAACCACATGGTGACTCACAACCATCTGAAATGGAATCTGGTGCCCTCTTCTGGCCTGCAGGCATATATGCAGGCAGAACGCTGTGATAACAAAATGATGCAGGATGGGACAGAATGAAGAACAAAAGGAACTTAACTAGATGCCGCAGGTTGCACCCCTCTACCCTCACCCAAAATAAAACAAGGAAAAGCAGGCCTGGAGACTGCATGTGGAAGTAGGGGATGAGTTCCAGACCAGCCTGTGGTATGGAAACCCTGTCTGGAAAATTAAAACTCTATCACAAAGTATATGAAGTGTGCACATAGAGTACTACTATGACATAAAGCCTTTTCCTTTTTTGAGATGGGATCTCAGTAGCCTAGGCTGGCTTAGAGCTCATTGTGTGGTTGGCTTCAATTTTGCAGTGATATCTTAGCTGAACCTCCTCCTGCGTGCTGAGATTACATGTGAGAGCCAGCGTGCCTGACCCCATCTTTTATTAACTTGAGACAAGAGTCTCACTTAAGTTGCTCAAACTGTCCTCGAACTCTGTATCTTAAGGTGGCCTGCCTCATCTCTCATCTTTTTTTTCTTTTGTGGTCGGAGGTCTTGAACATGCTACCCCTCAGCACCACATACTTGTTTTTCTTTTCTAAAGATTTATTTTATGTGTATTGGTGTTTTGCCTATATGTATGTCCATGTACCATGTATATGTCTAGTGCCCATGGAAGCCAGAAGACGGCATGAGATCCCCGGAGACTGGAGTTACAGATCACTGAGAGCCATCACGTAGGTGCTGGGAATCAAACCAGCTCCTACAAGGATGCTTTCAACCACCAGTCATTTCTCCAGATCCTTCTCTACATTTACTTTTCAAAGACATTTCTACTGCTGCTCTTTCGAAGAACCGAGTTTGAATCTCAGAACCCATACAGGCACCTCAGAATTGCCTGTAACTCTTGCTTCAGGGAATCTGACCCATCTAGCCTCTGAGGGCCCCTGTACTCAAATGTAAACACACACACACACACACACACACACACACACACACACACACACACACGGTTAAAATGTACATATGCTTTTCTTACTGAACCTACAAAGGCAATTAGATAGCTTTGGAGCAATCACTGTATAGATTTTCTTGAAGTTTTTAAGACTTTAAGATTGAAACAAATGTGGCCATTGGGGTAGAAGGCCCAGTGACAGAATGTGTATTTGCCATGTGTGAGGCCCTGTTTCATCTCAGCAGTACACACACACACACACACACACACACTCACACATACACACTTGCACAAAGTGATCTTGGAGTTACTTTTTTTTTTTTTACAGGAAGTGTTAAAATAGAGAAAGTAACAGTTTCCAAATGTGCGTAGCTAAGCCTCTGGCTCTAAGGCAGGAGTAGAATTCCATAGTTTTCCACTGAGAGAGCAGGGTGCCCTAAAAGCTGGAAGAACAGGGTGAGACTCAACATTCTGCAGTAACAAGCAAGGTGATAGCCGTGTGCTAGCACCGTTGGTACAGAAGGGAGTCTGATCAGCAGCTCTTCTGTCTCTTGATAGGTCACACAGAATACCATCAGATGGCAAAATCAAAGTGATGGAAGTGTCTTTGGGAGAGTAAAACATGGACAATAAAACATGCAAAGATGGCCATGTGTGCCA